ATGTTGGCTAAATGTTTTTCTCACTGTCTTGATTTTTTCAAAGACAACAAATTCTAAAAAAAAATACATTTGGAAAAATTCGTTAAAAAATACAATCATATTTATTACAAAAAGGAAAGAATAGAACACAATTGAGGAATATTGCGAGTATTATTCAAGACCCTGAAGGTGCATAACAAACCTTTTTACTAGCATATATCATCTTCCTAAAAGAACAAATAAGCCTATCCATCTCTGCATTTTCTACCTTTCACTGAATAAAAAAACGTTTCCATCTCTGATTTTTGTTTATTCAATGGATTTACAAATATATTTTGACAATGAGATGTTGTTAAATGAATTATTTTGAAAAAATGTAAAAATATGATAGCATGACTTTACCTTCTTAATTCTACCATGGTACTAACCTTACCATTTTCCAACTTTAAACCCATTGCTGTATTCTAAAAACCCGCTAACAGCCCTTTGCTGTATTCTAAATACTTGTAGGTAAATTTAAGAGATGACAGGCACAAATGGCTGTACATGAAGCTTTTGTACACATTTTCTACTAGAAAAAATTACCCCAGTAAAAATTACCCATGGTACAATTATTTCACGGTGGTCTCATTTCAAATAAACATATCCAAATTTGCATTTTTTTCTGCAATTTATCTGGTCAAATTTAGCTGCATATAAAGCAAATCCTCATACCTGATTTGTGTATATGCAATGGATTTATGAACGTACACGTTGACAATTTCTCTGTTCCAGAACCTGCAAGAATCTACTAGCTTTATATTCCTTTTTTATATCATAAAGGAAAAATCGTTTATCGAAGTAAACCTTTTTACATTCTTACGGTTTTAGAACACAGCAAATGTCATTTTATCATCGGAATAATTAAAAAAGGAAAATTGTGAACATATGGCTGCACAGGAATACCTTCTTAATTCTACAATTGGGTTACCTTTTATTTTTGAAACTTTGGTAAACGTTAATCAATAAAGTATTATAGTTTTGTAATAAAATGCAATATAATCAAAGAAAAAACATATACATATGTGTGACAGCAATGTGTGTGACATACACACAGAAGTACACATGGATAATAAAAATGACAGCAACTATTTAAACTCCATTCCGTCTGATAATGTCTAAAGTCGCAAGCGTTTCGCAATGGTTGTGTTTACACTTTGCCATCGAACAACAATAAAGGTGGGACGACATAAGCAGCTTGACATCTTGGTATGACATATTGAGTGATACATTATAAAGAGATGTCGGAGTCGAAATCAAGTTATGCTGTCGCTGTCCAGTATAATTTGGCACTAAGATGTCATGCAACGCTGCCAAGCTGCTTATGTATCCCCATCTAAAAATTGAATTTGTTCATGTCAATATATTGGAACATGCTTTATTTTCTTTGTGTCACCAATTACTCAAGAAATTACCAACTACGGCTGTAATACTATTCTTATTCATATTTAACAGCATTCTTCGAGTAGGGAACTTCTCGTCTGCATAGAAAGAATCTGAAATAGTAATGATTTCGAAACCTGTAAATCATATAAACCCATCAGTCTTTTATCTGTACTCTCAAAATGGTTCGAAACAACATTACTAAAGGTGGGAATACATAAAGCGCTTTTTTGGCTGGCTTCTTCGTAGAGGAACAAAGAAGTTTTAGATTAACTTAGTGCGATTTAGGCCCTAGGCTCCTTTTTTCATTTCCGAAGAAGCCCGCCAAATAAGCGTTTTATGTATTCCCACCCTAAGATAGTTAACTCTATTATATTACGAGTAGCTATATTATTCTCGACCACCAATTCGGCTTCCGTGAGAACACAGCACTGTTGAGCAAGTACACCGGACAATCACAAAATTTTAAGGTGAGAATACATACAACGCTGTTTTGACTGACATAAGTTATAGGCCGGTTTCCTCGTAGATAAAGGAGCTTTAGGTTGACTTAGTTCGATTTTTGGCCCTATGCTCCTTTTTTCTTTTCCGAAGAAGACAGCCGTTGTCTAAACCAGTCAAGAAAGCATGTTATGTATTTTCACCTTTAGAATGACATTCGAAAGGTTGGAATTTTGTTCCGCGTTATTTATAGACTTTTCCCAAGCCTTTAACAGAGTTTTGCATCTTAGGCTGGAAATACATAAAGATCATATTTGGATGGCTTAAGTCATCGGCTGGCTTCTTCGTAGATGAACAAAGGACCTTTAGGTTGACTTAGTTCGATTTTTGGCCCTATGCTCCTTTTTTCTTTTCCGAAGAAGACAGCCGTTGTCTAAACCAGTCAACAAAGCATGTTATGTATTCTCACCTTTAGAATGACATTCGAAAGGAAGGAATATGGTTCCGCGTTATTTATAGACATTTCCCAAGCCTTTAACAGTGTTTTGCATTGCGAAACTTTACCTAAAAACAGTCATAAGCTTTTTTGGTAGCTTTTTGTCAATTCGTACATTTGTTGTTTAATCGAAAGACATACTTTCAAATTCAAGAAAAATGGAGTCCCTCAGGGTAGCATCTCGAATTCTGTACGTGATATTTACTGCCGATATGCCCGCAACCAATGAAACTCTTACCTCAACATTTGCTGATGATACTGTTTTGATTATTATACACAAGGATCCTATGATAGCGTCGGAAAAACTACAAACCCATGCAGATCTTCTCGAGAATTGACTGGCAAGATGGAGAATGTCAGTAAATGTAAGGTAGTATATACACGTTATTTTGCTCTAAGACGTGAACTTTAAAATATCTCGGAATGCCCCTGGACCAAAGACTTACTGGAAGCAATACATCAATCCAAAAAGCACGCAAATTAAACTAAAAAGGTCAATCTCGACTGGTTAATTGGTATACGGTTTTCTATTAAATTAGAATACAAAGTCCTATTATATAAGACTGTAATAAAGTAAATTTGGACTTATGATATACAGCTCTGAGGGAACAGCTAGTGCCTCTAACGTAAAAAAGCTACAAAGTAAGCTATAAAGAAGACAATCAAACATTATTCGATCTACTACATGTGCACCTGGGTACATAATAAAGGCAAACATCCATAAGAACCTTAACATACATACTTACCGTTGAAGAAGAAATAAAGAATATTTGCCGAAAGTAGGAGTTGGCCCACCAACTCCTATTATTCAGAGGACACGATAGACTGTGTAGACGTGACACCATCGTAGAAGAATAAAGGTGGATGCATCAAAGCTTGGGAACATTGATATATCAAAATTTTTAAAATAGTTTTTCAAACATCAATCGATTTTTATATGTTTTCTTATATGATGCTAATCGGAAAATATTATAATATGCGTTTTTCAAAAATTTTTACAAATAGAACAGTGTCGGTTAGTTTCTTCGGGATACCATAGTATTTTGTTTTTGCAAAATGGTCAGCCTTAATCCCTTTATTGTTGTTTTTATAAAAACAACGTTTGTTTATTGGTGGAGAACGATGGTTATGTTTACCAGGGGGTAGGGCAATTCCCTTGTTTTTGTCTGGGATATTCTACCTACAAGTTATTTTAGAAATATCTTCACTTGGGTAAAAAATGTTGTTTGTCATAGAAGTTATTTTTAAAATTACTTCTGGGGAGAATATCCCAGACAAAAAACGACAACAATTATGGGATTAAGCCTGACCATTTTGCAACAACAAAAATTGTACAAATTTGAATATTTTTTATTATAATTTTTTAATTTCAAAATTAGTTTGACTATGCGACTACCTGTATTCTTCTACCATGTCAATTCCATTGCGTATATGTCAAATGAAGTCGACTTTCTAATCTAGTGAATTTTATTTGACGTATACGCAATGGATAGTTAAAGTCAATTCTACTTAGAAAGTGTAAACATGTTTCTACAAAGACGCAAGGCCGATCGATGTCGTATAAGAAAACTTATAAAAATATACTTAGCTTTGACAAAACATTTTAAAAATTTTGACATATCAATGCTTCCACAAACCGGAATAAATCCACATTAAGCAATAAATTCTGACAATGATGGTTAATCCGGATAAAATGTTGTGTCTAAACGCGCTATAAGTTGATATTACGGTCATGGTAGTAGAATATAGGTGGACGCATCGACACAGCTGCTGGGGCAATGAACTGTCAAATCAATTTTGGAATTGAAAATGTTGAATGAAAAATTATTTAAATTTGTAAAAATTGTTGAAATACGCGTAGTATAATAACCTCCGAATGACGTCGCATAAGAAAACATATAAAAATCTACTTATATATGAAAAGACATTTAAAAATTTTTGACATATCAATGTTCCTAAGCGTTCATGCATCTACCTGTATTCTTCTACCATGATTACGGTTCTGCAAGAAGCTACTAGTTTTGCTTGTTTTTTTTTAATATCATAAAAACAAAATCGGTTATCGTAGTATAATGTTTTACGTTCTTGCAGTTTTGTAGTAGAGCAGGTGTAAACACCAAAAGGGACATGGTTGGATTGCGATATTATACATTTGACATCACCATTTGATTTCACCACTTCTCTATAATTGGGCAATTTAATTCTGCCAGTAAACTCCTGCCTCTAAATGCATGTCAATGTCCAGTTTATGATCGGCCATCTCTGGACATTGACATTGGTAACAGTTCAATAACATAACCTTTCCAAATTGTTACTTGACTTGTGATTTGAATATTTTACGAACTTTTCAAATACCGTAATTAACAGTCATCAAAAGATACATATGTAATTGATTTTAAACGACGGTCAAGGTCTTTTGAAGAAAGGTGAAACAGAATTGAAGAAAGTACGTATAACAGGCTTTAAAATATTGAACGAAAAAAAGAAAAACACGTGCTCAAGTTTCCCAGCAACCAATGGTGAAGTTTTTTGATCCCACGATAGCAAATAAATAATAAATCGGTTTCTACGGATTCCAATACTTCCAATAATTGTTGGCATAAAATAGCTTTGTGGGTTACGCAAATACCGCCACAGATTAGTACATCATTTTTTTACTTACTCATTTTCACGTGAACGCAGAAAAACTGGTGTATTCCTAGATCCTGAACTGCCTGTAGTGGACTTTTGCGGGCTAACCCGTCTCATGTTGTTTATGAGACTGCGGGAACGTGGCAATGTGGCGACATGTTGTGGTTGACTTCGGGATGTTGGGGTAACAGACTTGCCACCACCTGTGGAGCGACGTGTCCTGGCAGCGACACGACCTCGACTACCACTGGAGCCTTTGTAACTGCCGCTGCCACTGCTACCACCACTGCTGTTGTTCAGTTGGGGTACGCTAGAGGCCCGTGTTACCATTTTCATTTGTTTTAATTTTCAAAATTTCCCAAATTTATTTCACACTTTGACATTTGACCATTTACAAAAACAAAAATTGAGTAATCACAAAAGTAGTTCTCACTTCGAACCATTTACATTGACGCCTTGTGTATTTTATTCTTTTTAAATATTTTATAACATTAACGCATGTATATTAACACATTAATTACAACGGCGTCGATGACGTCTAGCTTTGCAAAATGCATTAAATTCTATTAAATATTCACCGTTATTCCGTTTTTTTTTAATTTATTTTTCTTAACCGTTTGAAGGGTTGTTATTACAATTCATCATTATTTCATTGGAAATTATTAATTGCGTTTCAAGACTTCGAACACACAACCGTACACTCGCGCCACATTCTGCCCACACCCATGCAGATAAACACCTTTAAATCGTGGAAAACCGTTTTGTTTTTAATATTTTCAAAATTTCCGTCCGTTGACGTTTCCAATTCCAAATTTCAACTCTCACTAAATTTCCCGCTATAACTGCCCATCAGTTTTATTCAAATTCTATTGTCCACCGTCTTACTATTTCAGGTCCTTGTGTGCGAGAGTGAGATTTATGGTAATTTTTCTCCTGAGCGCCCAGTGAAACCAGCGAAACCCTACAACAATTCATTCATTAATGTCGTCTATTTGCAGGCACAAACACCTGCTGGACATTGTCCAATGCTGTGGTTAAGTGAGAGCAGAGAGAGAGTCCTATTAGAAAGTGCTATTGTTCTATGTCGCTCTTTCTCTCTCATCGTCCTAGCATGCATATTTCAATTTGATTCTAATAACCTTGTCCCATGACATGTCTCAGTATGTTAGGCATTATTCATAGTTAGTAACTGGTTTTACTAATTGTCAAGTTTTAGTGTTTTGATTAAGTGTAGTACATATGTGTGTTATTTCGAAGGGTGGTACAAAAATGTCGAACGATGAGCTTTTCCTGAAAGTTAATATTACAAACGGGAAATTATTCAGTGTTAGATTTATTTATATATTTTTTAATTCCCCTTATAAAGGCTTTCTGTTTTTGAGAGCATCTTTTTGGGAGAAGTACTTAACTTTTTTCGTCTATAAGCAAACCCTATTGCTGCTGTTAGTTGTGTTAGTCCTCATATGAGGTTTTATTTTCGAGCATTCTGTAAGGATCCAAAACCGATATAATCATATAATTTACTGAAACGAATTTAAAGGTGAGAATACATAAAACTCTTTTTTGACTGACTTAAGTCATCGGAGTGTAGGGTCAAAATCGAACTAAGTTAAGCGAAAACTCCATTATTCCTCTACGAAGAAGTAAGCCAATCAAAAAATTTATGGAATTTATGTTGACAATCTTTTACGAGTACAATAGCTAAATAAGCCGCGATATCATCGATCTTTTTACCCTCTTCCGCAAAATGACACATACTGAAGCCTAACATGACTCATGAGACTAATATTTTACTTCTCTGTTTTAGATTATAAGGTGAGAATACATTAAACGTTTTTTTTTTTTTTGACTGGCTTAAGTCATCGGAAAAGAAGAAAGGAGCGTTGGGCCAAAATTGAACTAAGTTAACCTAAAACTCTTTTGTTTCTACACGAAGAAGCCAGCCGATGACTTAAGCCAGATAAAAAAGCGTTTTAGGTATTCTCACCTATATTCTTCCTTGACTTTTATACCCCCTAAAATGCGGGAAAATTACAGAATATTTTGTGGGAGATAAATCTTAAATATCTTGCTAGTTGTACGCTCAAATTTTTAGGAAGAACTACAGAATATAAAGTCAACAATACAGGGTGAGGTGAAAAAACTGCAACAAAGTCAAATGCCATAATGTTTACATTTTTTTTTTTAATTATATTGAACGAAAGCAAAAAATTTCGGAAATAGCTTCAAATTTTAGAAAAAGTTTAGATTTGTTCGAATTGGTCACCTTTGGCACGAATTATGGCCTTCAAACCGTCAAACGTTACCCGAATTTTGGCCCATTCCAGGCGATACGCTTGCTTGATATGATCAACACTTTGGTATTTTTTAGTGCCAACCTTGCTTTCCAAAATACTTGTGTCTGAAGTATTTTGGAAAGCAAGCAAGAAAGATTGATATCCAGAGATTTTGGTGCCCATTGTGCGCTGGAAATGAAGCGAGAAATCTTATTTTGTAACCATTTTTTGGGTGGAGCGTGCTGAGTGCGATGGTGCTGGTGCGGCCAAAATGTTTGCGGCTTTTATACACCCTTCAGAATATTTTCCCGATAATATTCGGCATTTATTCTGATGTCACGGTTGATTTATACGAGCGGAGCGACCATCACCATGACCGGCGCTTGAGTTCTGGTTGACAACCGAAAGTGCACATTTTCAGCTGACCTCTTTGGCAAGTAAACACGATCATTTTGTTTGTCTACAAACTGCTGGACAACGAATGTTTTCCCATCGGAGAAAACCCACTTACTTGATGTCGGGCTTCACTACCAGTATCACTGTAACGAGCGATGGTACGAGACATAGAAGATCTATTCACATTTAAATGCTGGAGTGTTCTAACGATAGCCACTTGTGGTTTTCCAGCCAAATATAAAGAAATTACACTATCACGCTTGAATTCCATCACGAATAACTTTTTTTCTGGAAAATTCTCCCAAATTGCTTTTGTACGCTTGTAAATAATATAATGAGCTGTCATTAGAATAATTTTAACAGCTGTCGGACGAGTGGCTTGTAAATGACAACAGTGTGAAGTTGGTTGAAGTTTTTTCTTCTCTTCCTGTATGGCGTTTAAGCCCTTTTTATATCGAAAATATGTGGTATATTTAGATGGTGTTTTGAGTATACGTCAAAGGCCAACGGAGAGAGAAAGACTCGTTTATATGTCATTCTCTGACTCGAACAAAGTTTAAAAACATGGAACTCCGCATGACCGCAGCAAGCTAAAATATGACGCGTGACATTTGACAACGCGTACCTCTGCTCTGGCCTTTAAAATACTGACAGTTATCCTTTCCGTCAGATCTTTTAATGTACTTCATGTACTTTTCGTGCATTTCAAGAGAAATGAGTTTTGCCATGGAATTGAAATGCATTGTCAAATTTTAATGCATTGAAATCAGGATCTCTGATTTGTGTATGTTCAATGGATGTAGAAATATACATTTCGACAATAAGATGTTGTCAAATGGATAACTTGGGAAAAAATTGTGAACATATTATTGCAGGAATTTACTTTCTTGATACTACCCTGGCATGGTACAATGAAATAAAGGTAACCTTATTTCAAATTAGCATTCCCAGCTGTACATTTTCTGTAATTTACCTTGTCAAATTATAATGCATAAAAAACAGTTCCCATCTCTGATTTTGCGTGTATACAATGGATTTATGAATATAGATTTTTACAATGAGATGTCAAATGTGTAAATTTGAAAAAAATTAACATGTGTAACATGGGAGCATCGTATCAATTTTTTCACATTCTTGCAGTTCTGGGACCGAGCATTAATTTCCATGTTTTTTTCGCTGATATCCATACCATGGTAGAAAAATACAGGTAGATGCATCAACGTTTGGGAACATTGAAATGTCAAAGAATTTTAAATGTCTTTTCAAATATAAGAAGATTTTTATTTGTTTTCTTATACGATGTCATTCGGAGGTTATTATAATACGCGTTTTTCAACAATTTTTACAAATTTAAATAATTTTTCATTCAACATTTTCAGTTCCAAAATTTGTTTGACAGTTTATTGTCCCAGCAGCTGTGTCGATGCGTCTACTTCTACCATGATCCATACAAAACATTCATATGAAAATTTGTATGACAAATGACAATGCAAAAACAGAGTTGCATAATATATTATGGTCTTTTCGTGCATCATTTAATGACACATGACGCTGATATGATAATTTATTTTTGATCCAGTTTTGGCCGGGAATTTAAATTTGTTAGTCAATCTGCACTGGCCCTCACACGCCCAAAAAGGCATATTTTTATAACATTTTTATGACATTTATTTCACAAAATAATTAGTTTGTAGAATCAAACTACAGAAAATGTCTTTAATTTCTGGTAGAATCGAGGAGGTACAGTCATGCAATCATATGTTTACAATTTCAAAAATTACTCATTTGACAACATCTCATTGTAAAAATTTGTGTTTATAAATCCATACACAAATCAGAGATGGGAACCTGTTTTACATGCTGTGAAATTTGACAAAGTAAATTACAGAAAATGCAGAGAGTAAGCTTATTTGAAATGACTTTATGCTAGGTTCACATGGCACGTGATTTACTCTCTATTCCTTGTTCGACCATTAATTAAGAAATATCTACTTAATTCCCCACACAAAATTTGCTGAGCGAACAAAAATTTTTGTTCTTTGTTCCATTTAAATCACTCTCAGAACTAAGATAAAATGTGTGCCATCCCTAACAAATGAGAGCATTTATCGAAAAAATAAATTATGACATTTAAAAATTCAAAATAAACAAATTTAATGAAATTTAAAAAAAATGTGGGAAGACTGAAAATTATGAATGAAAACTACAATGTTGAATGGCGTATGAACATTCAAACGAAAGTAAATTTTGTTTTCCCTCTCATCCGAGGTACACATTTTGTCCACGAATTTCCACAGAAAACTCGAAGCAAAAGAGGCAATATTTTCAAATTGTTTGTATCGGCAGAAAAAATGTCTGACAAGTGTTTCTCCAGCAGAATTTAAAAATAGAAAATACTAAAATATGTTCAAAATATCAGCATTTACACATTTACGATATAATACATTTTTGGTAGAAAAACAATAATTTTTTCTATCCATATTAGTTAGAATTTCGTGTATTTTAGTATAAATTCCCATTAAAATTAATAAACAAAATTTTTGAAAAAAGGAATTATTTTACTATGGATTACGAATCGTGCCGTATGAACGGGTTAATTCGTGTACATAATTCTGAGAGCCAACATAGCATTACCTATGAGAACATACCATTACCTTCTTAATTTTACCATACATTCTTTTAGAGGAACCGATGGTATAATTAAGAAGGTATAGTTATATGAAATATATACATCGTTCTCTGCAAGTTCCCATCTCTTATTTGTGTGTATACAATAAATGTATAAATATAAATGTTGACAATTAAATGTTGTCAAATGATTAATTCTGAAAAAACATGTAAACATATGACTTAACTTCCTTAATTCTACCATGAAGGAAACTTTAAGATTTCATATTCATAGTATAGTTTTGTAATAGTTGAAACTCTTTATAGTCTTTATTCCTCTACTTACACTACAAAAATTAAGTGAGTGTTATAAGCACTTATTCTCCATATAGTCATTTTATGACACTTGACATTATTTACCACCCTCTCGCCACTACGCAATGTACATGGATTGCTCATTTAATGCTCAGACACCTTTGTGGTTTTAAAGTGTCAATGACTTGGTGATATTTGTTCCCTCTGTGGAAAGGTGGGTGGAATTATGAAGTTCACCCT